AAGAAATCATGTGTGATGCTAATTTTAGCCTTTGTTTATATATAACCGGAGGACGAAAAATTGATGCTTTTTCGCAGCTTATGTTCAATATTGAATTCAAGCTAATTACACCGTATAGGATAATTTCCCAGTACCAAATTCGCTATTGATCATATTAAGCAAGGTTTTGATCGTATATTGAGTGAATTTTTCTTGTACTACACTATCAGTAAGATGAAGTAATCCACATATTTTCTGAACGAAGAAATCCCACAAGAAAAGTCAGTTAATATATAAAAGCAAACCTGGCATATGGCGAATCCACTTCACTTATTTGAGAAGTTGCATCAAACCCAACGGGCTGGATGTCTGACGAAATCTCAGCACGGATGTAAATGGTTAGTCTAGCATTTGCCAAATTACGTCATTTCTGGAGTAAAAATGACTCCCGGCTATCTACCAAAGTATGTATATACTGCTTAGCAAGTCCGCCTTGTCATCCTTTATGGCTGGCTATGAGATGTGGTCATTGCAAGTGTAAGGAACGAAAAGGCTAGCTGTCTTCGACTACAGAAATTTACGTCTCATCCCCAGTGTTATTAGGTATAATTTGGTGAGTAATAATGATGTTGGGTGTAGAGTGTTAGGTAAGCGAAGAAAGTCAGTCGGTTCGGTTGTGAAAGTGAATCGATTGAGATGGTTAAGACACTTGTTGCGCATGCTTGAGCTATCGCCTTCCTCAACGAGCAGTGTTATCTGAAAAGAGTTAGGTCAAACCAAAAGTCATTCATCAGTCCATGAAGTCTTCGACTCTTTTTGATCTCTCATATCGATTACTCTTCTGTCTGTCTCACATTTCTGCTTATTACAGTTCATTTGAATCTCTTTATTCCTCTTTTCTTTACTTTTGTGTGCTACATCGAGTATGGCAACTTGTGTACAAAGTTCTTTGTTGAAAGTCAGTCAGTTAGTCAGATTATGAATAATGATAACTGCACCGCATAAAGTAATTGAATCGGAATATGATGAGAAAAGAAATAAAACAGTTGCTATGTGACAGAGTGAAACGGATCAGGAAAATGAATGAATGAAAGAAGCAAACCAAAGATCTCCATTCTAGACAACATCTGATAATTTCTAAAGACACATGGTGACATGATCGCCTTGACTGGGTTTTAAGGATTCGTGACACACCAGTAAGATGCTCACCCAATACAACTATCCTTCATTCCACGACACAACGTCATACGTTGGCTGAGATGGTTAGGACATGTGTTACGTATGCCAAGCCATCGCCTCCCTCGACGAGCAATGTTAGCGGATATAGGGTCAGGCTGGAAAAAAGCTAGCGGCGGTCAAACAAAAACTTGGCATCAGTCAATGAAATCCACAACAGTTGGTCTAAGCCATGTAGGAAGATGTAGACTTCCAGGCTGGGGTCCTCGGGACGGTAAAAATCTATGGTTGGAAACAATTGGTGACATGGCTCAAAATCGTTCTCAGTGGCGCAGATGCATCCACTCCCTGTGACTTATGATCTTCAATGAAACTGTTTTGTATTTCTTTATTACTCCTTTGTCTCACACCTCTGCTCACTGTTTCTATTATGCTTTTCTTGTACTTTCTTCTCTTGCTTCGCGTGCTACACGGAATGTGGCGACTTGAACTGGTGCACATTTGTGCAAAGTTCTATGTCGAAAACAGACATACGTTGGCCACTTTTTTGTTTTTATTTCCCGTCAATTCTCAAGGTGGTCAAACATTGATTGGTGTGAAAAGCAATGGAATGACATTCATATAGCCTGTTTATTCCAGTGGTCATATATTATGTCATGTACTTTACGTAACATATGACGCAGTTATTTATAGATAACTTCACTTTAAACGATGGAATTTCTGACGACTTATTCGTACAGGAATAAATAGAATATTTCTGTTTTCATTGTTAGTGTAAGTAATTAATTAACAGATTTGAGTTATGTTCAAAGAGGTTATTAGTATTTATTATTCCCTTGCTTTCCGAGTGGAACATAGGGCTTAAACAGCGCATCTCCACTTTGTTCCGTTTTCTGCCGTTCTCTTCAACTGGGTCCATGACTGCTTATAATCTCTCATCTTCTCTTCGTACTAACTCCTCTATACCACACTCGCACCGACGACCCACTCCTCACTTCCCATTTGGATTCCACTAGAAGGCGCGGGGCGCGGTTAGTATGATACAATTCTTTGAAAGAGTATAACCTGTCTACCTTCGATATGCGCTCAGAAACTCTAATGCCTGGGCGAATTCTGTCTCTCTCCTGTCCGTTTGACGTTCAACTGATTTACGTATCACAGTGTAACCATATTCAAAAGGGGATTGAATTCTCTTGATATCGTTCCGTAGTGTCAACTAATAAATCTACAATATTTATTTTAATTATAGCATATATTGTATAGGACAATTTTCCTGGTAACTTTTAATATCTGTGCATGATATGACTTCAGGAAATTTGTAACTTTAGCTGACTGATAAAATTTATCAGGTGAAACTATAGTTTGTTTACATTCTGCTTTCTGTAGCGCGTGTTACATATTTTCTTCTTTACCAAAAGGTAGTGTATTGATTGTACAAAGCTGAATATGAGGTATCAGAGAGTTTTGATGACCTTTAGAATATCTGGGAATTTAAGCAGTATGCTCTTGTACACAACCATTTGTGTAATGATTCACTGATAGCCTAAATTGGAGTGTTATGAATTAAGAATTAAAAACCAACAGGCACGCAAGTGGTTCAGGGTTGAATTCCCGCCTGACTTACTCTCTTAAACTTTGCCCAACCAGCAGTGAGTCTGGTAAAGAGTGAAGGTTGGGCGCAAGAATAGTGATTTCATTCAGTAAAAACAACATGTCTGTTACTCAAACTTCAAAGCTTGAAAGTGACTCTATAAAATATCTTTGATAAGACGGTTATACGTAACTGTATACGTTTTACATGTATACTATTATATGGAAAGTATTATCAATTTCGGAATGAACAAGATGACTACCGTACACATCTACACAACTAAACACTTATTCTTTATCATATACTCTCGAATTACCTAAATAATCACTGAATGAAACTGGCTGTTTATCCGAAGTATTTTTATGCTTCAAGTAGATTGCACAAATCGAGAAATAAGCACTGGCCTATGACAACTTGTAATTCAGTTAGTTGCACTCAAGCCTTGGCTGCTAACCCCTATTTGAAACGTTTAAACCCTCATTTTCACACTAACTGACCGATCAATTTTTATAGCATATTTTTACATGACTTAAGACGAAATCACTTCGGCAGAACATCTTTTCTCTATGGAGTACTTGTACTTCACCTGTTTCTTTCTTAATTACAGTTAGCGTTTTTAAAATTTCAGTTGATGGAGAGAGAGAGAGAGAGGGTCATCTTCTGAGGCTGTGGATCATATTACGATATTTTAATTGATGCATTTTCTTTTTGAAAGGAAAAACATCATTTGCAAACTGCTCAGTACGCAGGACAGATGTGAGGAAATCAAAGTTATTCATATCGAAATGAATGATTCGTCCGGTATTGGTGGTGGTGATGACCGATGTCAGGTTTTAGTTTGACAGGTAATTTGAGCCACTTAGGGAAATGTAGATTGTCTGATTAGGGTCTTCTGGGTTCTAAGAACCAATAACTGAAGAATATTGGTGATATAGCTTAAAATAGTTCTGAGTGACGTAGAGATACATTCACACTTTGTAATATCTCCTATCCAGTAAACCATCGTGTTTCCCCATATTACTCTACTGTCTCCCACATATTTCTGCTTATTGTAGTTCTTTTGGATCTGATGATATTAGGTGGTTGGAGGCAATCGGCAGGAAGCCTCGCTTGACCTAGGTTTTGCGCTAGTTGGCACTCGTCAGCAGGGCGTATCTGCAACCTGGAAGGAATTCATGTCCCTTCTGACATTCAAACCCACGTCACCCAGTGGGCGCTGCAGTCAGATACCTCAGTGGTTACCACTGAGGTATTTGGACTCGCGATTGACCTCTTGTAGGACTGTACTGGATCCTTTGGTTGGACACTAGTAACTAGTGTGATGTGTCTAGTCCTTTCTTTGGTGCAGACTGAATTCTGTCAGTCAGGTCTGCAATATGGCCACCATTCTAGGTAGCTCGCCATCACGGTGCACATTGATTTGATGATATTAGATAGTTGGAGGCAATCGTTAGGAAGCCTTAGACCTGGGTTCCGTGCTAGTTGGCACTCGTCAGAAAGGCGTATTTGCAACCTTGAAGGAACCCATATTCGTTCTGAGATTCGGACCCGTGTCACCCAGTGCTGCAGTCAGAGACGTCACCATTACTGAGCTATTCGAGCTCGCGATTGACCTCCTGTAGGACTGCAGCCAGTAGTGGGACATGAGTTCCTTCAAGGTTGCAGATACGCCTTGGTGATTGGTGAGTGTCAACTGGCACGAAACCTGGGTCAAGCAAGGCTTCCTGCCGATTGCCTCCAACTATCTAATATCACCGTGATGGCGAGCTACCTAGAATGGTGTCTACATTGCAAGTCTGCACCAAAGAAAGGACCAGTTGGACAAATCACACTAGTTACTAGTGTACAATCAAAGTATCTTTTACATCTTTTTCTCTCTCTCTCTTTTCCTTACCTTTGTGTGTTGAACTTGTATGTAAAGTTCTATATTGAAACTCTATCACATCAGAAGTGGTATCCACACTCATTTCTGCCAGTTGTGTTTATCAGCATCACCGAGGTAGTTGAAACACGACAGTGTTCTCGGCTGTTTTTTTGTTCATTGAATTATTTCAGGTGCATAGCTGATTAATTGTGAGATTACTAATAGAATTAAGGAGTATTATTCTACAAAGTTTTTTTTTGTTGTTTCACCCCTCCCCTCCCCACCAGTAGTATATCAGTGGGTAATAAAATTTCATAGTCTACTGTTTGACATAATATCAAAAGTCAATTTTTGTTTCTTCTTTAATTCATTTATGTATATCTACGATAGATTCGTTAAACTTCTTCCCCGAAGATATGCAAACTGCACAAGAAAATCAATTATCTGAACGCAATGAAGTATTTTCTGTTCTGACTAGTCCACAACGTGAAACAATGGCTGAAGAGTTGGCTGGATTTCTTGCTGAAAAAAAGTTATTTATGCGTGAAATAGTAAAATGGGATGATTCAACTAATGATATTATAATATTGGCTAAAAAAATGTGTATCATTATGATGGAGATGACAGATTTTATACGTGGTAAAGGTCCTTTACGATCTACGCTTGATGTTATTCAGGTAAGTTAAATCAATTGGTGTTGTTGTAATGTCGAAATGTTTTTTGTCATTAATATTTATTACTTCTTATAATATCTCTATCTGTCTTTCTATCTGGAATCACACTAACTCATTACTGGAGTCTATTCAGTAATAATGCTCTGAAGGTTGGTAATTTGAGCACCTTTTGTATATTTGATCACACTTACCATCTTAACATCGAAACTATTTGTATATGAATTATACTGTGGTGAAAGCTGTCTGAAAGCCAAAATTTTAGAGAACAATTTACGCCAGTATTTACCTCCCGAATTGGGGGCATGAGAAAAAACGATAACCAAAGCTAAACCTTGAGGAACTCACCAACCAATCACAGCAGACTTAGCCTGTGCAAATACGATTCGCAGATATATGGCTTAACTTTCTAAGAAACAGTCACAGTCAGTGCAGAATAACATTGAGCAAGAAAACAACCAACCAGAAGACGTTTCTTCCCTGTTAACAATAATGCTAATAATAATGTACAAAAAAATCTATAAATATCTGTTGATTTTCTCAATAAACGATCCGTTGCCTGCCACTTGTCTTCTACCATTACAATACTACCTCACTTTAATATTGTGGTCTAATTTTTTATTGATTAAATCTGAATTGGCAGTTGTTCCACACAACTGGGGTGTAATTTGTTGACCGAAAATAGGCAGTTATTTGATTTCGGAGTAGTTTCGACGGCTGATTGACTACATCATACCAAGAACTGGCAAAAGTCAGAGAGAACTGGATTATTATTTCATCTTAATCTTATACTCATCAGTGTGTTAATAGTAATAATAATGTTACCTTTCTCTTGTTTTCGTAAAATGTTTAGGCAGCTCAAGAAATTTCAGAACATGGTAAACGTTTAGATCGTCTTTGTCGTCATATTGCAGAGATGTGTCCTGATTCAGCTAGTCGACGAGATCTATCAGCCTATCTACAACGTGTTACATTTTACTGTCATCAGTTGAGTATTACAAGTCGAGTGAAAGCTGGTGTACATTTGCTTAGTGATGAAGTTGTAAGTTTTCTTTTTTTGTTTTGTTTTTATGCCTTAAGGGTTATATCATTTTGTATAATTTATGAGGTTTTCTTTGTCATATATGTACATCTAAATAATTCTTAACAGCTTAATCATAATGTGTCTATTATCTTCAAAACTCATTGGATCAGTCTTTGCCAGTCGACTGTATTCATCAAAAAAGTTAAAATACAATACAACTTACCTGTTTTATTGACTATAATGCACAACAGAATGTTAAGAGGACTTAGTTTATCACTGGAAAGTATGGCAATTCGATTTATGCGTGTTGAATTTTTAAGATTCTGTAATAGTAGGGATTGATGTTTAAACACTTTAGGTGCACCATCAGGCCCTCACATTGTAGTTTCACCTTATTACCAAGTGCATCAATAATGGGGCTGTTAAGAGTTACTTTTCACGTGAGTTATCTTGTGTTTACCTATAACTCTTCAAGTGTCTCCGTGTTTAAATCACACGATTGCAGGTCACTTATAAAATACACTAGCGAGTGCTTCTCATGATAGTACTCCGGTGTGCATGTGTGACATGTGCTATTGATAAGATTTATCAGTAGTATATAAAGAGATGTTCATTGGCAGAAAAACATCAAGTAGCAGGGAGATACATTTGTTGTCAAAGAAAGCAAATTATAATGCAGCGTTGTGAAGATAGATGGAAGACGACGTGAAGGGAACACAAAGTAACACAATATGAAGGCCAGAAGTAGCACAACATGGAGGATATGTTCAAATGCTGAATGGAAGATACGGTGTACACAATTTAGCTATGTAGTGATACCAAATTCCAAAATAAACATTCTTTTATCAGGTCTTTCGTCTTCTACCGTTACACATGCAGTATATTCTCAAAAATACAGTCAACTCAAGGAAAACACTAGTTTATATGCTTAAGTTATAGATTCTTCCTATCACTTCATTATAGATAAAATTTTATTCTGATAAAATCACAGTGTATGTTATACAGTAATATTTAATGATGACTACGTTTCGAGCACAAATTATTACTGCTCATAAGCATATCAAGGTATTCACTCACACAGCTATCTTGCTTCATTTATATACATGAGTGAAGATTAATTACACATTTGAATAAAAATCAATATAAAGTACATTCGTAAATAATGGCAATAGCACTAAGTAGTACAACAAAAAACCTAGACGATGAAATGAAATAGAGAGAAGGAGAGTTAAATGGTGTTAAATGACTATCTTATAAAATTCATTAGGAAGGCCGCGAAAAACGCGAAAAGCAAAAATAAAAATAATGGGGAGACTAATAGTGATAACATAAATAAGAGAGAATATAAGGCACCCACAGTTCTACCATATAAGGAGGGGACATCTGACACTCTGTGTACGATTCTAAATAAAGCAGGAATTAGGATGGGATTCAAACCTACAAACTCACTCAGATAGGACAAACTCTGTAGGTTAAAGGACCCTGTCGGTGGACCAAATTAGACAAAATAATATAATTTACAAAATACTTTGCAATGACTGTCAGTTAAGTCAACTACATAGGTCAAACTAGTAGATCGGGAGTATTGAGATTATCAAAACATAAGAATTTAGCTAGGGTTAGAATGATTGATCCCACACACGAAGATAAGTAATTTAGAAAAAAAAAACTCAGCAATCACACTGCATGCATTAACGCATAACCACACAATGTGGTGGAAGAGGGTTGAAACTCTAAGAAGTAATATAGGTAGGTGGAGAGAGAGGTAGTTGAATCCTGAATCCTGTTTGGTTCATCGAGTCTTCACCCGACACATGCAATAGAAGTGACTCAACGCCAATACCAGAGATATGGAAGATATTATTACCAGTCAAATCGGAGGATAATAATAAATAATGTTAAAATGCATTTAGTTCACATTATAACAAGTTATTTATTTTACCTTAAGAACATCTTATTGTATTTTATTGATAACACTCATATTATTATTTCCGAATGTACTTTATCTTAAAAATTGGTTTTATTCAAATATTTAATCAATTTTTACACATGTACATAAATGAAGCAAGAAAGTTGTGTGGGGGGTGAGTATCGTGATTATAACTGGCAATAAATTGTACTCGAAACGTTGTCATCATTAAATATTACTACTGTATAACAAACACTGTGTGGTTTTATCAAAATAAAATTCTATCCATAATGGAGTTATACTCTACCACAGTGACCAAGTTTTATCCTTATATCAGTAATTCTTCCTATCCTTTATGGCTTGAAAATGACAAAGGAAAGTTAATAGTTTAATATCAATAAAGAATATGTACATAACACAATTTTATGGATTTACAGATGACATTTATTTGTGCCAATGGTTTAGAATGACCTTTATCATTAAATTTTGTCAACTATTCACAAACACAGATGACACTTGCAAATTTCATATTTTGGTGGGGGAGAGGTGGAGGTAAGATTTGCCAAGTGTCAACAGGTTATCAACCTGATAATCTGCATAAATTCAACTTGTTTAAAATCTCACCAACAATTTTGTTTTTGCTTGTTTGACATTAACACTTATAACAAGGGGTGATTTGGGTAAACCGACAACTATAATCATCTCGCGTATTCATAGAAAAGTGATGAAAGAGTCTGTAAAGGAAATCAGTCGAGGGAACAGTTTGATTCACATTAAGATGTTGGTAAAATCAAAAATAGGTTATTCAGTATTCTATTAGCTTAATGGTTAACTGCCAACTTCAAATGCGTCGGTGGCACAGTGGTTAGAACGTTCGCTGACCATACATATTGTCCGGGGTTCAATCCCCGGCCGATTCACACTTGATATCAATAGTCAGCCTGCTAAAATTTGGGCTACCGATATCACATACTAGAAATTTCATACTTGTATCAAAAATACTGTGTGGAGTCAAGCTATAATAAAATATGAAATAAATAAATACATGTACATAATACAGTAGTTTTTCGACTGACGATTTGCCTGCGTCTAAGTTGAATATCTTCGGTTATACTGTTGAATGATATATGATATTGTGAGTCTAGTATCAGACACTATCTATCAACTAATGAATGAATCGGGAGTGTAGACTTCTCTTTATCTACAAAGGTTTGAGCAACTAGATTACATTATCAAATATAGCTAAGTGTCAGTAGCATGCGTATGGTTACCTACCGAGTAACAATTCATTTTTTATTTCATCCGACGTAAATGTTTTAAACCACTGTTTGTTTATTTACCTGTTCTGTTTGTTGGTTTCCTCAGGCGCTGTATTCTTAGTATAACCAGATTGTTTCAATATTACTGACTACATAACCTTACCCTAATCTGTCGAATGAATATTTTCCAATGTTAAAATTCCTTGTACTAAATAACATGATATAAATATACGAAAATATTTGTTTCATTAATTCCTCCAGTTCGACTTCTTTTAAACCATCATTTTGTGTAAAATTAATCGCATAAATGATATTAAGTCTTTATAAGACGTGTTCCTAACCAGCACTAACAAGTGCCAATCCCTGTGAATTGAAGAAATTTGAAAGGAGTTACCTCTTCCACCTATCTAAGGGACATCGTTTCTACTACAGGTGGCAGCATGGATGACGATGTTGAAGCCAGTCTGAATTGGAAAAGCGAGACTGACCCTTATTACTCTGAAATCAGTGTGGTAATCGCCTGCACTCAGCAATATACATATTCTCAGTTCTAACGTCAAGTTGTTTCTCTTATGCAGTTAGGACGCGTCACAGAAAACATTTCCAACGACGGATGGAAGACCTTTATTTGCAGCTGTCTTCACTGACTCGATACTGAAGATCAAATGGTGGACCATAAAGGATTAATATCAGGAATTTCTGACAAGTAACGAACTAACCAAGAACTTACCACTCAACAAATATGCCGAAAGAAATGGAGTTAGATTGGGCATACGCTTGGGACACTGTCTAGTAACATCATGAACCTTATAGGCCCTCGAACGGTACTCGAATAGGAAATGATCAGTTGGTCGTCCAGGTTTAACATGGAGGAGGTGGAAGCTTGTCGCCCAGCTAAATACGAATTCAGTGGACAGGATGAAATATCAGTGAGCCTGTGAAGTCTTGTGTTCTGATCTTGACATGTATTATTATTATTGTTTCCTTTAATTCCTAGAGGAACATAGTGCTTCAGTCGCACGTCTCCATTGCGTTTTGTTCTCTGCCAACATTTTCACCAGGCACCACATCCGCCCACATGCTTACATCTCCTCTTCAGATGACCTCCTCCATATCACCCTTGCACTGACGACCAACTCGCCGCTTCCCTTTCGGGTTACACTCGAGAGAGAGAGAGAGAGCCTGGCGTATGATGTCACTTGGTGGTTTGTTATCTCACAGTGTGGCCACAATCTACCTCCATTTCGTCCTACATATTTGTTGTACAGTTGGTTCCTCCGGGTTGGTTCGTCCATCGCCAGATATCCCTGTTGCTGATCGTTCTGGCCATCTGATCTTGATTACTGAGCTGTCTTAAAATGAGGGAATAATGATAATAATCTCCTGTATGAATGAATGTTCGTTCCTCCATTTATTTTAAACCATGCATAGTTTTATGGCTTTCACTTTTACCTGATAAAGTGTTGTGGTGATTTTTGTTGTTGATTTATTTATCTGCTTACTTAGTACACGCTTATCATGTGTTGTTGTATATTAGGATTATCGATTTCAGAATCTCGAGTGCACTTACTAAATTAGTTATTCATAAACACATGTAACATTTATTGTATTCACTTTCATATTTGTGTGTGTGGATAACCTTTACTACTTTCTTTTTTTGTTTTGCTTTGTTTTTTTCTTAAAGAGATAACACAAATATACATCAATTTGCATACTAATTAAGCTTGAAAATGATATGAATTCTGGTGAACCATCTGATGTATATAACCTACACCTGTTTCCTTTCTACCATCCACTATATTACTGTTATCCATTTCAGTAGTTTAAAGATTTCTATAGTACACAGTCATCTGCGTACTATATGTGTAATCTTGTTAAACGGTTTTATTTACTGTTTTGCATAACAGCTTTGTCTTTTGACTCTTAGCATGACTAGACTATTTGGTACAAATAGATTACAATTCGATGCAGTAAAAAATATATTCGGTGCTTTACAAGTATTGGTTTTGTAGGGATTCTGTTTGATTGCATGGAGGATTTCACCATGAGCTGACATCAGTTAGAGAACCACTGAAAAACCTGGGAGTACTGGACAGCTGTTTCGTCCTAGTTTGGGACTCTTCATCACCACGCACCCACCAAATCGTGACCACTTCGCAATGTCTTCTTCGATGAGTTACTGCCTCATCTTCAACCTGCTGTACCCTACTGGTCACGGCTTCCCACTAGAACTCCAGAATTGGCAAAAGTTAGAATTCAAGGACTATTGGATCGGGTCCCAGTGGCTCAATGGTCTACGAGCTCGCCTTGTAACCAGAAGGTCCTGGGTTCGAACCCCGGTGGGCGCATACTGCTGAAGAGTCCCAAACCAGGGTGACGAAACAGCTGGCCGTTCAGTACTCCCTGCAGGTTTCCTAATGGTTCTCTAACTAATGTCAGCTCATGGCGAGATCCTCCATGCAATATTCGGTGCTATTTATTGAGCTGTACTCAACCTTATCTGTTATGTTATGCCACTTAGTTTGCTTATTTACTTTTTTCTTGAATAACGTTATCCGTGTTACGTAATCGCTGTCAAAAACTTACGATTTTAATGACACATTTTTGGGAACATATGCGTGTACGATTGCACAGCTTTAGAATGATGTCTCCGAAAAGAGTAACTCTTCGCTCAGCGTCTCTTCTTTTGTATAAAGTTTAGTGTGTCCTTTAAGTGATCGAATCTTTGTGCTACTCATAATCTGAAAGAAAAGAGAAGAGAAAAAAATATTAGCAAGCAATCATTAAATTAACATAGGCTATTTCTGTTTGAGGGGATTTGAGTTATTCATTATCTTGCCATGCATACCTATTGGGTTTTCATCACCAACTCTGAGATATTTTCATTCTTTTCTTACCTATTGTTTGGCCTAAACTTTAATGTGTTTAAGAATTCATCTAACTTGTGGAAATTTATTTACTGTGCACTAATCAGAAATAAGTTCATAAGTAGGTTTATAATGGAATTTTTTTATTGCGATAACATTAAACAGAACAAGGTTAAAATTATGATATTCATTGCTTGAAGGCCAACGTCGGTGTAGCTTTCTCCTGTTGGATCCGTCTTTACGCTTACCCACTAGTAGTGGTTATATCCAGTGTTAGATATTATAGTCAGTTTTCATAATCATACAAAAAAGCGGTATTTCTTTCACTATGATTGATGCTAGATACCTTTTTATATACTCGTATTTGATGCTTCTATATTTCCACCCAAATCGCTTTGCTGTGCGTGGTAAGCCCGATACATCATTGCTGTCAATTAATTAATCTATTAATAAGTCAGAGGTTTTTGAAAACTAAAGGCTATGAGCCACATGCTTATTGTGTGACAGTTGATTATACTATCCAGCTGCTCAGGCTGAAGCAGGTGTGGTGGTACTCGAACTAGGGACCTATCGGCTGTAGGTTGAATGCTTAAACCAATCAGTTACATCTCCGTTTTGATTATTTTATGCATACATATGAAAATACACGACCTGGTTAGTATATCCGAAGGTGGGTGGACTTCAGTCCTCCTTTCAAAATTCTCTGATGCGACCGTGCGTTCATAGACTCTGCTGGGTAAGTTCTGTTCGCTGCCTTCACTCGGCAACGGTGTTCCTCACAATAATGAAAGGATGAATGCGAACATCTGGCATTTATAACAGGACTGGTAGACATGCTGATCTACTTTAGGGGAGCTGAAAATTCTTGATTCGAAAAGTGTGGTGTACATAGGTTGCAGAATCCCAAAGGATCGATTGACGTATAAACCTTTTTCAGTTACCGGGATCCATGGGAGCTCAGCTATTGACGCTACTCTAATGCCTTGTGGAACAGACTTCAAGTCAGATGGCTTGGGTGGGGGTTCCTTAAGTAAACCATCAACTTCCGTTAGGCCTTTTGGGGGCAGTATCACAGCCATCGTACAAACTATGAGACAACAATTTTTGTGGTGCACTTCTTGGAGGTGATATACCAGGTTTGTGTCTGTATAAATAATAAAGCACATGTATGAAATCGATTTGAATGAACTTTTGCTTTCGAAACCCATCACACATATAACTGATTTTTTCAATTTTCTCTGTATTTTTTATGTTTTCTAGTTTGAAAGTGCAACTTCATTAATTCAAGCTGCTAAAAATCTTATGACATCAGTTGTATTAACAGTAAAAGAAAGTTATATTGCATCAACCAAATATCGTGGACCAAATCAACGTTCTGTTGTCCAATGGCAAATGCGTACACCAGAAAAGAAATCTCTTGTTTCAGATTATTATAAAGACTCCTCATATGATAGAGATGATCTATTCGATGATATAAATTCACGTCATCCAGATGCATTAAATGAACTATCTCAATTCAAACATCCACCAAATGTGTAGTGATACTTTTACTCTTTTTAAAAATTGTTTTATACTACTCACAAGTAGGTGAAATGATCTCAGACTAATTTTTTTCACTACTTCCTGATATACTTTACTATTGTACACTTGAAATATTTTGTACATATCAAAAATGCTTAGTGATTTATTTTCTGTCTTGAAGATGGATGATCTTCTATATTCAGCCATGTTCTTTTTTAATAAAAAGAATGAGTAAAATTCAGGTCTTCACTAGTCTTTACTTATCTTGCACACCAAACAGTTTTAAAATTATGTTGTATTTTTCTTGATATGTTTTTTTTTCATTGCCTTCTTCGTCAAACAATACTTTTATTTTGTTAGTCTGAACTAAATTCCCTGACTTCCTAAACTGATTGCATTGTTTCTTTTTATTGGCATTTCAAAAGTGTTTGAATGCGTTGTTTATTTTTCAAATTTTTTGTCCGCTTTTTTTCAAAATCGCATTTTTCAAAAAAATTATTACTAGTATGTACTTTTTGCGCAATACGATTACACTCGTCATTCTAGTTTGATTTTTTTTGTAAATAATCCGTATAATATTAGTTTTCTTTCAATTGATTTTTACCTCTTTATTTTGCCTTGGATATATAATTTATACCTACACTTGGTATTATTATCAGTTTATATTTTTTGTATGATTTGCTAGTTTTGTTTTTATGGTATTTAAACGATAATGATAAATAGTTTTTATAAAGGAAATATTGATTGGTCTTTTACTTTTTAAGATTGGTTCTATTGCATCCCACTAATAAGCTAGCAAGTGTTTGTGGATGGTGTATTTTGGTGTTTATGGATGTCTACGCGTAAAGTATGCAGTTATTTTGTGTTTACTATAAGTGCCCTCTAGAGGATCTGGATTTCGCAGATGATATCTGGGAATCAGAAGAAGTCCCATCGGGTTGGTGTAAGTCACTGATTATCCCCATATACAAGAAGGAAGACAAGTCTTCCTGTGATAATCACAGAGGGATTAGCTTGACTAATATAGTATCTAAAGTCTTAGGCTCAATAATCATGCGTAGACTGAGTGGTGCTTGGGAAGCACAAACACGAGAGAGCCAGGCAGGCTTTAGACCAGGAAGAGGGTGTATTGATCATATCTTCACCCTCCGACAGATTCTAGAATATAGGCATTCCTACCGGCGTCCAACAGTCGTTATATTTCTTGACCTAAAGGCAGCATTCGACTCTATCGATCGGGAAGTTCTCTGGAGATGCTTGGCTGTAAAGGGAATTCCAAGAAAATATATTGCACTGATTAAGGCACTCTACTCGTACTCATACAGCCAGGTGAGGGCTTATGGCGAGCTGTCATCTGAACTGATGACGACCAGTGGTGTCCGTCAAGGATGCTCATTATCTCCTTTTCTATTCGCTGGAAAAAAGCTAGCGGCGGTCAAACAAAAACTTGGCATCAGTCAATGAAATCCACAACAGTTGGTCTAAGCCACGTAGGAAGGTGTAGACTTCCAGGCTGGGGTCCTCGGGACGGTAAAAATCTATGGTTGGAAACAATTGGTGACATGGCTCAAAACCGTTCTCAGTGGAGCAGATGCATCCACTCCTGTGACTTATGATCTTCAATGAAACTGTTTTGTATTTCTTTATTACTCCTTTGTCTCACACCTCTGCTCACTGTTTCTATTATGCTTTTCTTGTACTTTCTTCTCTTGCTTCGTGTGCTACACGGAGTGTGGCGACTTGAACTGGCGCACATTTGTGCAAAGTTCTATGTGGAAAACAGACAGACAGACAGATGATATATGTCTAATGTCACATAAACTCTAAGACTTACAGGCGGAAAGCAACAAACTAGCTGAAGAGGCTGGTAGCGAAGACAGAACATGGAGAAGATGGAGGTGATGATGATGATAACCAACGAACTGGAACAACCATCATGAATTACCAATTAACGAGAGAGATTTAACAGAGGGTTACCTCCTTGATTTATCTAGAAAGCATCGTTTCAACTACAGGTGGAACAGATAAAGATGTCAAGGTTAGAATCGAAAAGGCAAGATACACCTTCATTAACCTGAAACTAGTTTAGAAATCTTCTGGATTCAGCCAGCATTAAGGACAAGATTTGCATTTTCAATACTGATGCCATGTTAGTAAGTGCTTCTGTATGTTTAAGAAACTTGGCGCGCGCGTCACGGAAAGCATTTTTAACAATCTGCTACAGACTCATATCAACAGATGCCTTCGATGACTCCATGCTGACGATCAAATGGCCAACTGGCCAGAAAGAATTAGCTACAAGAAAGTATTGGGACAAACTAACTAAGAGCCGATCGCTCAATAAATATAAAGGAGAAAATGGAGATGGATTGGGCATACACTGAGGAGACCGTCGATTGACATCGTGCTCAATGCGGGCCATGGCTTGAGTGGAATCCAAATGGGAAGCGTTGAGGGGGTCGTCAGTACGGGGATAACATGGAGGAGATCGTGTGAATTGGAGGAAGAGATGAGAGATTATAGGCAATCGTAGACCCATCTGAAGAGGATGGCAGGAAATAGAAAAAATGGAGATGTGTTGTTGAAGCCCTATGTTCCCCTCGGAACCCAAGGGAATAATAATATAAGTGTCTAATATGTACATTTGCTGGTGGCGTTGAAAGTGTTGATCATCCCATTACATTTCAATGTTAGAGGTGATAGAGAGATATGAATTGTAGGTTTCTAGAAGCTGCGTATCTAGATGATGATGATGATGATGAAGGTAAAATTCGTGCGAATCAATCTTCAAAATATTAGTGCAGGTGATATTTTCGATAAAGGCCCAATTCTATAGTGGTTTCTACAATACTGCCTATACTTTTGTCTAAGATGGGCATTTCAACCTAAACCGATATGAAACCGAAATTGTATAATCTTCATGAATGATTTAGGTATTTTGCTTCGCTCGAGTGTCACATCCTTTGGAAACGTCCGGTAGTATTTCATCTCAACTGAATGATTTATGATGTGTCACCTGTGAATCGAGGTATATTTTTTTAAAGTTGACCATTAATATTAAGTCAATACAACATATTACAGTCCGTTTAAAGAGGATAGGTTTGTCGTTTATCATTAAGGGAAATAATTTTGCCACTCATGATGATACCATGGTGAAGTTCGAAAAGTTGTTCCAGAGAAAAATTACTTTTATGTATGTACTATGGTCTAACCGAGTGGTGGAGAGAAGACAGCAGCTAATACAGCTTACAACTGTACTGGGGGGAAATTGCTAACTGTGCGTCAGTGGCACAGTGGTTAGAACTCTCGCCGACCATGCACATGGCCCGAGGTTCGATCCCCTGCCGAAGCATACCTGATATCTATGATCGGCCTGCAAAATTTAGGCTACCGATATCCATGCTGAAAATTCCATACTTGTACCAAAAATACGGTGTCAAATCAAGCTGTAACAAAAATATTAAAAATATACACGTGAAAACTACAGGAGATAGTCTACTGTTTCTTTCTTAATAAATAACGTGGATATTTAAGTCTTTAGCCGTAAGATGTTTTTGATTGATAAAGTCTGTATTATGAATTGGCACATATATAGAGATGATGAAGAGGTATGGGATTTTGCCATTTCCTCCCTGTTCTAACTAAAGTTTTAGTCTAACACTACATAAATGACTGCTTCCGGAGACCTAATCTGCTATTGCAGTTGTTCATTTTGCGTTTAGGGCTAAAGTGACACCAGGAAGTTACGACATCAACAACGTAAAGTCGTTGGATAAATGTACTTTTGTTACTGACATGGAAAAATTATCTGAAGAACCTTGCTGAAATCTTGTGTATATGCCCCTTGAAATACATCTTTTGAGAGTTCTTGCCTACATGAAGCCAATTAGCTATAAGTGTTAAATGTATTTGTTTTAGAATTTCATCCACAGTGGATCAAATTCACACCGATAACTACATTCTCGTGTTGACCTAACCAGTGACCATAGTAAACTAACCACCCATTTTGTCCTGATCAAAAAGCTTATATTAACCACTGGTTTGAAATCAGAGTTTTCAAATCCCCATAAGTAAACTTTCTTTATTCACAGGGGATGTATACAGTAAAGAGCAGTAAATTATATGAATATTTAAAATCTTTTTCATTAATCTGCTCGGAAGTGCCTACTTGTGATAACATTTGTTGGCTTTTAAGTAACACTAATCTCGATTCTGTTAGAAATGACTTCTTTTCTTCAGGTGGAATCGATGTAGAAACTTTAGGTTCTCGCACAGAGGTGTCACAACTATCGTTGAAGTTTTATCTTGCATAGAATCAGTATTAGTCCGTCTAGTAAGTTCTTATGATAACATTGATTGATTTGAAGGATGAAGGAAAGAAGATTTATAGTTTAAACAGCCAGGAACAAATAAAAATTTTCCCGTTTTGAAAATTCACGTTATGAATCTACAAGCTTTCAAAATAAAAGTATTCATAATGAATCACTTTGTTTCTTTTTGAAGTCGAACAGTAGGATCTGTCTTGATGAGGAAATGTAGTAGAATGCCTTATAATTTGAAATGTGATACAAAAAGTTTGTTCAGTCCTTTGTACTCATCAATGACTGTTTTCTTATCATTTAACTGAATAATATTTCAGAGATCCATTAACTTTTGCTGACATTTGTTTATAGTTTACTGTTCTTACTTCTGTTTCAATTGCAGACTGAATATTAATTATATTATCAGAATTAGGAGTGCCTTCAAATTGAGATAAATAATGTCTATAAGAGTTGATATCAGTTAGAGAACCATTAAAAACCAGCCACAGGGAGTACTGGACAGCTGTTTCTGTCATCCTAGTTTGAGAGTCATCGGCAGTAAGCACCCACAGCCAGGACTCGAACCCAGAACCTTCCACTTTTAAGGTCAATCCGTGGTGAAACTCGTATAAACAAATCTAATCTTTACAAACAAACTTTTGAAAATTAATCTGATGCTTGCTAGTGACTTGCTACAGGACGGAGTTTCCTGGAGTT